TTTTCTCCAGTTGTCATGATTAAATCCATTCGGATCTTACTTGCTATCGCAGCATACCATGATTATGAAATCTGGCAAATGGACGTCAAAACGGCTTTCCTTAATGGAAACCTCCTTGAGGATGTCTTTATGACACAACCTGAAGGGTTTTGCGCTCCTGAAGAATCTACCAAGGTATGCAAGTTGCAGCGATCAATCTACGGATTGAAGCAAGCCTCACGGAGTTGCAACATCCGTTTTCACGAAACTGTCATCGGCTTTGGTTTTGAAAGAAATTCGGATGAATCTTGTGTATACAAGAAGGTCAGTGGGAGTGCTATAGTCTTCCTTGCTCTGTATGTTGATGACATACTGCTCATAGGAAACGATATTCCTACTTTAACCACTGTCAAAACGTGGTTGAGTAAGAGTTTCTCTATGAAGGACTTGGGAGATGCCAGTTATGCACTTGGCATAAGGATCTATAGGGATAGATCACAGAAGCTGTTAGGTCTCAGTCAAAGTACATACATAGACAAGGCTCTCGCTAGATTCGGCATGTCTGAGTCGAAACGAGGAAGTTTGCCTATGGTCCAAGGCACGAGTCTTTCCAAGACTCAGGGTGCTTCCACTCCGGAGGAAGTAGAACGCATGAGAAATGTTCCTTATGCGTCGGCCATTGGATCCATCATGTATGCGATGGTATGTACGAGACCTCATGTCGCCTTTGCTCTGAGTGTCACGAGTAGATACCAGTCCAACCCTGGCGAAAGCCATTGGACGGCTGTGAAGAACTGTAACACCCTAATCCGTCCAGGTCTGCAGCCCCTTTCGGACTAAAGTATTAACTTGGTAATCGTAAAATTTAAAACTTTTCAAACACTTTTATTTATCATGATAATATTTTTCATAACATATACAGTGCGGAGTTTTCAATATTGCGGAAGCTTAACAAATCATAAATACAAACATAATTTATTTATGTTCTTTAATTCAAAACCATCACATCCATTCTGACAATCTCGCCTCCGTCTGCCTCCAGAATCACGTCACATCATTCTTTCTATTAACCTGCGTGTAGCAAATAAAACATACTACACGCTCAGCGGTGAAGATGAGTAAGCATATCTAATGCGTCGAACATCCATATAAATTGAATCCAAATTCATAATCAAATCATTTGATATCATGCACAGAGTATTCAGTTCAAATATACAATAATCAATATTCAACATTCGTCATTCAATATTCATATTCAACATTCAACATCCTCATTCAATAATATCCTTAAACTATTTTTAGTCTAAGGCCAATCTATTTGATACTTACCAACTCTTAAACGAATTCTAGTTTAAGATATTTACACTATATTCGAGTTTAAGGTACTCTTAACTAACCCTTAAGCTAGGCCTAGTTTAACATACAAATTTTCAAAAAGAGGTTTTCAAAATCTTAAACTTACCTTTGCTTAAGGTCATCCAGAAACCGAACAGCGGAATGCTCACTGTCGGGTTGGGTGGTATCCCCAAACGAGTTCCTTTAGTTTGGTTTGTAGATCCCGTACGTACGTTTTAACCCAGGCCACCGAATATTCATAATTATACCCGCAACGCCTATTTCTAAGCCATCTTAGAGGTTTTCTAGATAGTCTTAGAAACCAACGTCAACTTAGGTATATCTTAGAGTTCTTCTAGAGTTTCCTTGGGCGCGCACGAGTGAGGACAAAGTGCGCGGGAAAGACTTGTGTTGGTTTGTGGGGCCAGTCTACAATCCTATGAGCAGACACTTACGGCTAGGGTGGGGGCCGGGGTGTTACACTTCTAGATAGTCTTAGAAACCAACGTCAACCTAGGTATATCTTAGAGTTCTTCTAGATATCCTCAGAATTCAAATCATTTCATAATCATCAACATATTCATTTCAATTCATAATTTAATCTTCAATAATCATTTTAATCAGTAGTTTCATCAAGTCATAATCATCATAATAATCATTCATCATAATCATCAATCAACATAACATTTGATAACAAACAGCGGCCTAGTCTCGAGTGTTAACACCCGAACTTACCGTCATGCATCACATAGTATTTTATATGCCGAAAACATCATTTTTATTATAGAAAATCATATTTATATTGTGCATAATTAATTGGTATCAAAAATAGGATTTCATAGTTGAAAAATCATGTTTTCTAAACAATAATCGATTAATATATGATAGGAAATTCAATTATTAACTATTAGCTTCATTTTCTTCAATAGTGTAGGGAGACAGTCTACT